AATAGATAATAAGCAAGATAAATTAGTAAAACATATAGTATGTCAAATAGTGGTAAATGTTGAAGAAAAAAATAAAGCAGGGACAGAAAGTGTTGGTAGAGAGTTGAAATTAATCAGGAAACATGAGACAAGAATCCTTCTGCTAAAAGCTGCATTCCTACAATGTGTTTCTTTGTCACAGAAACACTATAAACAGAGAGAGAAGTAATAGTGAAAGCACATCACTAGAATCCTGGATACCACCTATGGGTCTACATAAAAATCCAGTGAAAATTCCCTGAAAGGTTACCACATTCACAGAAAGCATAACATTCAAATCTCGAGTTTTGAGGGGCAGAATTTGGGTTATCTAGATAGTGGTAACTCGGGTAAACAAAGGGAGCATGACATGGAAGGAAGAGACCCATCCAATTTTGGGAAGGGCAGGCTCCAGATAAGAAAAGAAAAGAGGGGGGAAAAAAGAGATTAAGGCCAGGTGCAGTGGCTCACACCTGTAATCCTAGCACTTTGGAAGGCCAAGGCAGACAGATCACCCAAGGTCATGAGTTCAAGACCAGCCCGGCCAACATGACAAAGCCCCGTCTCTACTAAAAATACAAAAATTAGCTGGGCATGGTGGCACATGCCTGTAGCCCCCAGCTACTTGGGAGGCTGAGACAGGAGAATTGCTTGAACTTGGGAGGAAGATGTTTCAGTGAACCAAAATCACACCACTGCACTCCAGCCTGGGTGATACAGCAAAACTCTGTTCCCCCCCAACCCCCCTCCAAAAAAGACTGAAAACCAGGCTTTTCTAGTGCATGTGGAAATTAGGCAGGCTGAGACCTCAGCAGCAGGGCAGGCGATCCCAAACAGATCCCAGGACACCATCCACAAATAAAATCAGTTTTTCTTGCCTCTGGAGTCAGGCAGGAACATCTTGTCTTGACCTCCTGGCAAAGAAAATTTGGTGTCCTCCCTCTTATTGAATTTGAAATTCTTTTTAATGCAGTAAGAAAGTTTTCTAAGCAATAATTAAAGAGAAATGGTTTAATAAGCAAATGCCTAGAGTTAATGTTTGAAAGCATAATAATTAATTGACAGTTATAACTCAGAGGTACCAGATTCCTATATATTTTGATGGACAAGGGTCAGGGGATGGGTTGGGAGAGTATTAAAGCAAGAGGGAATCTGCAGAAGAACCTGAAACATGGAAACCCACACTGCAGACCTCTGGCTTGGCTGAGCTATACCTTGTTTCCTGTTATGAGCCAGGACACAGTAGAGCTGCAACCCCAAGTGTATCTGTATCGTAGCCGGATAAGCAGACAGGAAGCCTGCAGAGGCTGATGAAAGCATGGGGTGTTTATTTGTCTGTGCAATATTTTCTTCTGCTTGCCTTTGCAACTCACCAGGTTCTGGATGTATCCAGGCTGGTAATTCCTGATTCACAAAGGAGACACAAAGTCTGTTTGTGAGTTGACTCTTATCCAGCACTCTCTTCCTTTGAACACTTGTCTAGGTATCTAGGTCTAGCCCTCCCTGGGCAATGCCATGCTCTCTCTGGCTAGCCAATAAATCCAGGTTATCTGCTGGATCATCTTCTTAGATGTCTTCTTAGCCCTTCTGTGTCTGCTATGATTACATCTTCTGCTCTCTGCCCAGTTCTCCCAGGCAGGTGGAATCTGCTAAGGGACCAGTTCCACTGAATGGCTGAGCCCCAGGAATGCACTGGTCTCCACTCCAAAAGAGAACCCCCTTTCTTACTGCCACTAGCCTAAAACTGACCCCTGTGCCACTTGCTGCCTTTACAGCAGAGCCACGAACACTGTTGAATCCAATCCCTTATTACCTTTACTTCTAAAATCAAGTCATGTGGCTTCAGACTGCATGACAGATAGCACAGTCATAAAACAGCAGTCTGCTCACCCAGGGTCCAGGCTTCCCCACACCTAGCAACACTGACTGAGTCTGTTAGCAAGTCCGTGCTGCCCTACTCAGAAAGCACCGCTAGGGGCCAGCTCTCTGAAGAGGACTTTTCTTCCTAAGACCGTCTCAGCTGCAGGAGAGAAGTAGGAAAAAAGGCAACAGAAAAGCAGCAGGCTTTCAAAAAGGGAGAAAGAGCTGGCTGTTTGGGCTACGTTTTCCTTCTGGCCCAATATACCTGGGAAAGCTAGTCAGAAAGCCATTCTTTAAAGCGCCTTAGAATGATTTAATCTTCATTGCAATCTTGGGTGAAAAAAGGACCTCCCCCTACCCAGCTTCCAGTAAATGGGAAATGGGCTCATCTCAGAAAAACCCCAAATTTATTTTCCCTCACAAATCATACTTAAATTAGGAAATCTGCGAGATGCTCTTGTCCTTCACTTTTTCCAAAGACAGACTAGCTCATGAGAACAAAACATAGGAGAAAGTCTTAGCAAATTGACAATAACTCTTCTGAAAGCCTAGAACAGCCTCTCTTATTTCCCCCCAAATGTTAATTGTTACAGAATGTAAATAATCATAGAAGCCAACTGTATCGACAAGATTAATATTTTGACCATTACAGGCTGCTTTGTGGTGTGCTGATGGGACTTTTGGGGAAAGGTTTCAAGAATATTTGGGGCAAACCACAACCCAATTTGACATATCTCCAGTGAATCATGTATGGCAAAATGCTGAAGAAGCAGAATACAGTCAATCTGCAAAATTTCTATTTAGATAAAATATATACAATAATATATAATATATAAATTACTACAATAATGTCCATTAGAGAACATCTCTTTTCAATCCTCAATTTTGAAAAAAAAAAAAAAATCACACAGATGATACCTACTAGTTACTATTATAAATATTAGTTCAGAAGCTTTGGAAAGGACTCCTTTGTTACTACAAAGGTGAAAAATGGCTAATTAGCAAAATATGCCATCTCTCATGTTTCTACAAATCATGATGCTTAGAGCCCATAGGTTTAGTTTAGGTGAAGACATAGCAACAAGGCTATTTAAACCACTTACAGATTTATTATTTATTTATTTATTTACCTATTTACTTCTGAGATGGAATTTCACTCTTGTCACCCAGGCTGGAGTACAGTGGTACCATCTAGGCTCACTGCAGACTTCACCTCCCAGGTTCAAAAGATTCTCCTGCCTCCCCTTCCCAAGTAGGTGGGATTACAGGCGTGTGTCACCATGCCCAGCTGATTTTTCTATTTTTAGTAGAGATGAGGTTTCATCATGTTGGCCAGGCTGGTCTTGAACTCATGACCTTAGGTGATTTGCTTGCCTTGGCCTCCCAAAGTGCTAGGATTACAGGCATGAGCCACTGCACCCAGCTCTAAACTATTTACAGATTTATTTTAACATAATATGTTTCTTGCATGTGAGAGAAGAGGAAAGAGATAATGAATATAATTTTTATCTATTAAAATACTGTGCTTTTAAGTACTTTTTCTTTACCCTGAAAATTAACTGACAGCAACTCAGAAAGAATCACGGAGCTACTGGAAATGAATTATGAGTCAGCTAAAGCAATAGCTGCCCCCCACCCGCTCCCCGCACTCCACAAGCCCTCCCTCCCACCTTGCATATGCTTTTAGCATTGTACTCAATTAAAATGGAAACGTGTTCTCAGTAATTGAGTTATAAAGGGTGAAGAACCCTGTCAAACAACACAGGAAGAATAACATAGCCTTCTCTGATAAAGAATTTCTCAAAGCTGTAACCCACAGACGACCTGAGTGAGACTCACCTGAAGGAGCTTATGCTTATTTATTTATTTATTTATTTGATTATTTTGTATTGTATATGCTTAGAGGGTACAATGTGATGTTTTGATATGTGTATTTATTAAACAATGATTAAGTCAAGCTCACTAACATCTGTTATCTCATTACTTATACTTTGCGGTGAGAGTATCTAAAATCTACTCTCTTAACAATTTTCAAGTATGCAGTACCTTTTAAACTATAGCCACCATGCTGTAAAATTGATCTCTGGAACTTATTCTTCCTGTGTAACTGAACCTTTTATCCTTTGACCAAACAGCTCCCCACTTCCCTTCCTCTCCACCAGCCCCTGGGAACCACTGGTCTACTTTCTACTTCTATGAGTTTGACTTTTTAGATTCCACATATAAGTGAGATCATGCAGTACCTGCCTTTCTGTGCCTGGCTTATTTCAGGTAATACAATGTCGTTCAGGTTCATCCATATT